GTCCCTGTGTGGGCTGGTGTGCGCTGAGCCTTCATCCTGTCCCTGTGTGGGCTCTGGTGTACACACTGAGCCTTCATCCTGTCCCTGTGTGGGCTCTGGTGCACACGCTGAGCCTTCATCCTGTCCCTGTGTGGGCTCTGGTGTACACACTGAGCCTTCATCCTGTCCCTGTGTGGGCTGGTGTGTGCTGAGCCTTCATCCTGTCCCTGTGTGGGCGCTGGTGTGCACTGAGCCTTCATCCTGTCCCTGTGTGGGCTCTGGTGCACACGCTGAGCCTTCATCCTGTCCCTGTAGCCTTCATCCTGTCCCTGTGTGGGCTGGTGTGCGCTGAGCCTTCATCCTGTCCCTGTGTGGGTGCTGGTGCCCACACTGAGCCTTCATCCTGTCCCTGTGTGGGTGCTGGTGCCCACACTGAGCCTTCATCCGGTCCCTTGTACAGGCATCGGTGTGTGCTGACCTTTCACCATGTCGCTGTGTGAGTTGGTGTGTGCTGAGTCTTCAGCATGTTCCTGTGTGGGACCTGGTATGAGCTAAACCTTGATCATGTCCCTTTGCAGCCTTGTGTACACTGAGCTCCCGCATGTCCTTGTGTGCTATCTTGTGTCGCTGGTATCTGCTGTACCCTTATTATGTGGCCCATGTAGACTGGCATGTGCCAAACCCTCTGAGTGTGATCTGCGTGGACTCTTGTCTGCTGAGCCCTCAGCCTGTGGTCAATGTGGGCCTGTGCATGCTGAGTCCTCAGCCTGTGATCTGCACCAAGTGGCATGTGTCCCTCTCTGTACAGGGCACACAGCCTGGCATGGACTGAGCCCGCACCAAGGAGGCAGCATGGGTCAGCATCTGCTGTATTCAGCATGTTCCCAGCCCCATCCCAGGGCACAGATTAGCATGTGCTGATCACTGGCATGTGCACCAAGCATGCAAGTGAACTTCACCTTAGGTATTCAGCGCAATGAGTGCATGTCAAGCCCGTGGTGTGTAGCACAACAATGTAGTGACAATGAGCCCTGAGCTTTAGATGAGCCCGGATTAGCACATGGTGAACACGTATAGAGTTGATGTCACACGTGCCAGGCATACAACGTTAAGGGTGTGTGTGCTGGGCACAGCCTTTCCCTAACCAAGGAACTGACCAGGGTCAAGGACAGTCCAGCGGGGGCCAGTCACCTGGAATGCCAAGCCAGGGCCAGGCTCAGTCTTGGGTAATGAGGACCAGCATGAGGCAAGACTGCTAAACAGTTCTTTACTGAAACAGGCAGAGGCAGCAGGGTGAGGGCCTGCATGGGGCCAGCAGGGGGCAGCCTCTGTCCTGTATCCCTCCAGCCAAGGGAGCCATAGGCCTGACCTCCCAGAGTCCTCCAGTGTTGGGGGAAGCATGTGCAGGCGAGTGCCATGGGCAAGAGGAATAGGAAGTTTCTGGATAACTAGCTTTCTGGAAGAATAATTTTTAGGTTCCAGGGGGTGGCTCTGAGGAACAGTTTGGGTCACAAAGGGATGCCACCCCAACTAGTGACTCCCAGCGGTGGGCAGGAGGGTGTAGTCTCCTCAGTGGTGCCCGCCAACATGCTGGAGAAAGCTGGTGGCCCGGGAGTGGCGGGGTGGCAGGCCCTGAGCCCGTGGCCCCCGGATACCCTCCAGGCTCCAGTCTGGATCATTCAGCCATTCCCCAGGGCAGCTGCTGGGGTCAAAGAGCTTAGGGCCCGGCTTCTGCAGGAAGAAAGGCGGGCGTCAGCCAAGAAACCTTCAGCCCCAAGAACCACATGCCTGCCCTTCATGCATTAACCCTCTTCAGTTCCATGACCTGTGGGCACATCCTGAGGGTGGAGGCCTAGACCATACACAGTTGCACTGTTAACCCAAAGGCCACACCTTTCTGGGGGTCTGAATCCTCCAGCAGCTCTTCCAGACAAAGACAGGCAATCTCCCCTGTGATTTATAGGCTTGGAAACCCAAAGGAGAGTCAGCTATGAGTCAGATAAGACTTGACAGCAATGATTTGTGGGGTTTTTGGTGGTTGGGTTGTTTTTTATTTTTAAGAGAGTGTGTTAGTGTGTGCCGAGCCTCACTCCCGAGGGGTGGGGTGTGTGCCGAGCCTCACTCCCGAGGGGGGTGTGTGTGTCGAGCCTCACTCCCGAGGGGGGTGTGTGTGTGTACCGAGCCTTACTCCCGAGGGGGTGTGTGCCGAGCCTCACTCCTGAGGGGGGTGTGTGTGCCGAGCCTCACTCCTGAGGGGGGGGTGTGTGCCAAGCCTTACTCCTGAGGGGGGGGTGTGTGCCGAGCCTCACTCCTGAGTTGTAGGTTAGTGTGAGCTGACACATCCTGAATGCGGTTTAAGTAGATGCTGAGCGTTATTCGTTAGAATGGATTAGTGTGTGGTTAGCCTTTACTCCTAGTTGTATATTGTTGTTGTTGTGGGCCATCGAGTCAGAACTGACCCACAGCTCACTCTCCAGTGGGTTTTCAGAGACAGTAAACAGCCTGAGAGGAAACTGTCCATCCTTCTCCCATGGAGCAGCTGGTAGATTGGAACCACGTGCCTTTGGGATTACAGTGCAGATTTTTACCACTAGGCCACCAACCGGATTAGTGTATACTAAATCCTATCCTGAGAATGGGTTAGTGTGAACTGAGTCTGACCACGTCCTGAGTCTATGACGAGCCTTATTCCTGAGGGTAGGTTAGTTTGTGCTGAGCCTTACGTACTGGGTGCATGTTAAACCTCTAGCAGCAGGCAGTGCAATGCACATGGGAAGTAAGGTCTGACTAACTGTGCCACCTTCTGGAGCCCAGAGGGTGAAGCACCTGCCACCTGCCCACCACCTGCCATACCTCAGCATCCATGACCAGGTCCTTGATGTCAGGCCCATCACCATCTCGCTGCAGAATGGTGGGTGGTTCAGCAGAGGCCCCACATCGCTCACCCTCCTCCCAGCCACTGCCCCGGCAGGGCACCTCATCCTCGGGCGAGGCCTGGCTCAGTCGGATCAGGTTGCTGAAGTTGGAGTCGGACTTGGAGCCTGCAGGCAGCTTGCGGGTCTTGTGTCGGCCTGTTAGGCGGCTGCCATAAAAGGCCAGGATAGGCTCGGGGCCTGAGTCAGGCACCCGGTGGCCAGGGCCAGCTGCCTTGAGGGGGGTCAGCATGTTGGGGACCACATCTGCATGGGTCTCTCCCCACAGCCCCCGCCCTGCTTCCTGCAGACTCAGGTCGTCCAGCTGGTCGATGGCCCTTTGCATACCAGGCGCTTTCTCCTCTCGGAAGAAGGGCCCGCTGCCCACCGTGCTGCCCAGGCTCACAGCCTCCTCCTCCTCGGTCAACGGGTAGTAGGGTGGCACATCGTCCACTACAGGTGCCGGCGTCTTGCCCTCTACCTGCAGGGAGAGCCGGTAGCTGTGCAGGGAGAGCTGGTAGTAGCGCGTGGACTCATGGGTGCTGCGCAGCTGCTGCATGGACACGAAGGGGTGGCGCAGGGCCGCGCTGGGGCTGATCCTCTCATGAGACTCCCACGTCAGCATGCGCTTGATCAGCTCCACCATGCTCTTGAGGTCGGCGTGCTCAGCCAGGGCCTCCCGGTCTGGGAAGGCCAGCCGGCCTGCTGCTCCACCGTTCACCGACTCAATCTGATCCAGTGACTTTAGCATGTACTTGCGGCGCTCTAGTGGGCGCACCTGATGTGACACAAGTGGCACAAAGTGGATGCCGTGCCCACTTATGCTGTGAGGCCCGCATGTGACCCCTGCCCTCCAGGCTGGTCCCCTGCTAGCCCAGAGCTCTCTGGATAACAAGTGGTCCACAGCTTCCCAACTTCTAGTCTTCCCTGTGGTCTAGCCCTGAGCTCTCTTGTTGCTGGGAGCGCCACCCCACTCTAGTCTAACTCAAGCTTTCTTAGTGCCGCAGAACCGAGCTATTCCCTTGTCTAGCCCACAGCTCTCAATATTCAACCCAGACCTATCTTTCCCCGAGTCTCTCCAAGCACTTAACACAAGGGTAGCCTCAACTTTCTCAGTGAACTCCAGATCCCCTTTTACTACAGCTCCCACATCTGAACCCAGAGCTGCAGGCCCAGGCCTGAGTTTGAACCTAGACTCTCTTGCTAAACTGTTATTGCTTTGTATTGTCAAGTCAAAACCAACACATAGCTATCATCCAGAGGGTTTCCAGAGGATTTAAATCACACAGGAGAACACTGCCCAACTTTCTCCCATGGAGCAGCTGGTGGATTCGAACTGCCTGCCTGGCTTTGATTTGGCAACACAACTTCTTATCCACTAGGCCACCAGAGTGCTGTTCTTGCTAGTGTGTGACTAATACCAGCCATGGGGCTTTCAGAGAAGCTGCTGTAAACTCTTAGTCTCACCTTTGGTGTTACCCAGATCCCTCTTGCTGTGACAGTTTCCACCAGGGACTTTCCAGTCCCCACTGCTGTCTAGCCCAGGTTCCTCTTGCTGCTCATCTTTGATCACCACAGCCATGAAAGTAGCAGGGAGGCTATCCTAAATTTTCAGTCCCACTTGGGGACAGATGCCTTTTCAGTTACAACTCTCACTCCCTATCCCAGACCTCCTGTGTTCTTGGAGGCATAACAAGACTCCTCTTGCAACAGCTCCTCTATATGTTTCCTATATGTCCAGCCCCTAAAGTCTCTCAGATCTGTCTCACCACAGCAGCCCTCAGAGCTGACCCTCAATTTCCAGTCCCACTTTTGATCTCTCTCAGATCTCTCTTGCTGTAATAACACTACATCTGCCCCCTAGCTGTTGTTCCTCTCTGAGGTCTAATCTGACTGCACCCACTCTGCCTGTCTCCCTACCTTGGTCTCGGCCAGGTAGTCGGCTGAGGACTTGAGTTGCCAGGGGTTGGTGGCATCAGGGTGGGGATTGCGCTTGAAGAAGTGGTGGGCCTTGCGGGCAGCATGCAGCAGGTGGGGCTTGGGCAGGCCCTGTGTCTCGCAGATGTAGCGCACCTGGTCATATTCGTTGTTGCCTGGGTAGAGGGGCCAACCAAGGTGCAGCTCGGCCATGACACAGCCCAGGGACCACACATCCACCTTCTCACAGAAGGGCAGCCCCAGTAGGATCTCAGGGGCTCGGTAGAAGCGTGACTGGATGTAAGGCTCCTTCACATAACGAACCTCGCTGAAAATGCTGGCTGAGCCGAAGTCAATCACCTGTGGACAGGTAAGTAGGCATGAGGCAGGGGCAGGGCACTTGGGCACTTCTGGCCCTCTCACTAGTGTCTTTCTGCCTCTGTCACTTGCCTCTGTCTATGACTCTCTCTTTTACTTAAGTCTCTGAAGCTGGTTTATGTCTCAGTGTCTCTCTCTGTGACTCTAGAACTTATGCCTGTGACATTGAGATCCCTTGATCCCTTTCTTCACATTTTGTCCATCACCAAATCTCACTACCTCTGTTCCTAAACAGATCTGGACTCTGTCCACTCCTCATGCCCCTCACAGTTCCCTTGTCCTGTCCAGTATGGTCTCCTGCCCATACCAATGGAAGGGCATCCTCCCTGGTCTCCCTATCTTAACTCCCACTCCCCTAGTCTGTTCCTCTCACACAGCTAGAGAAATCCTATGAGTACACAGGTCACAGCACAACCTTCCCTTCCCAGAACCCTCCTACAATTAAAACTAAAGCCCTCACCAGGACCCACAGGCTCAGACAATCCACCCTGTCTCCTCTCTGCCCCATCTCGTTCTGCTTGCCCTCTCGTTCCCTCTGCCTTAGCCAGCGTGAGCCTTCTCACTGTTCCATGAACAAGTAAGACACATATCCATCTTGGGGCCTTTGCTCTGGCTGAAACACCCTTCCCCCAGATACCTTCCTTGCTTCCCAGCCCCCTACTCATCTCCTGCAGGTCTTCACTCAAATGCCACCTTGTTACTGAGGCCTCCCTTGACCAATCTTTCAAAAACTGCATGCCCATAATTCCTACCCCTTTTCTAACCCCAGAGTGCTCCTTAGAGGCGAGGATGATGAGGCTTCATTGCACACGCTCTGGGCATCAGGAGTTATCAGGAGGGGCCAGTTCCCAGAGAAGGACATCATGCTTGGAAAAACAGAAGATGAGTGAAGGAGAGGAAGACGCTCAAGATGGATTGAAACAGTGGCTAGAGCAATGGGCTCAAGCACAGCAGACTGAAGACTGAGCACGATCCGGCGGGTTCCACTCCACACATGGGACAGCTCTGAATCAGGGCGGGCTCAATGGCACCCAACATCAAGTTTTCTTCATGGCCCTTAACACCATTTCATGAACCTTTTTATATGTTTTACTTTTAAAAATTGAGTTGTTGTTCTTCTCGAATAAGATGTCAGCTCTACATGGACAGGATTTTTCCACTCCTCTGCCCCTAACAGGAGCCCTGATGGTACAGTGGTTAAGTATCTGGCTGTGAACTGAAGGCAGAGCTTTAAGCCCACTTGCTGCTACTTAGGACAAAGAGGTGGCATTCTGCTCCCATGGAGAGTACAACCTGGGAAACCGTACCGAGTAGTTCTGCCACCACCACCACCACCAACAGTGTCTCAAAGATCTGAAACAGTGGCTGGCGCACAGCAGGGGGCAGGAGAAGTACTAACTGTAGTCACCCTTCAAAAGTGGAACAAACTCACTCCATTCCTCAACTTGCAACCAAAAAACAGACAAGCCTGTAAGGTGACCAGGGGGAGCACTCACGCCTTAGAATAACTAGCCCCGTAAGGTGAGAAAGGCAGCATCCACCCAGAGATAAAGCTCAGAAGGCAAGGTGATTAGGGGTCCAAGAATTAACGGGAATGTGAATCACTGGTAGAGTGGGAAGAGTACGGTTACACTGTGGGGCTTTATAATTAGTGTCACTGAACAAAATGCATATGGATGGTTGGAGGCTTTTAGAAACCTTCACTCAAGTCCCAATTTTTTAAAAAAATGGAATAAATGAGCAAGTAAATGGGGTTTGTTGTTGTTGTGTACTGTAGAGTCAGAACCAAGCCACAGCTGACCCTCCAGCAGGTTTTCAGAGCACGGGAGGAGATCGTCCATCCTTCTCCCACAGAGCAGCTGGTGGCCTCAAACGTGTGCCTTCGGGATTGTAGTGCAGCTTCTTGCCACTAGACCACCCTAGATTTGTTATTTTTCTGTCTCGTTTCTCTGTCTCTTCTTTCTTTGCAACTGCTTTTGCCTCACTTCTTGATGTCTCTCAGCTGTCTCTCTCCATCTCTGTCACTGTCTGTACCCACTAGCAAGGCATGTCCCCGAAGCCCAGGTCCTCCCGTCTTTATCATCAAGCACTATTAACCCCAGCTCCAGCCCAGGACAGGTCTGGGGTGCCTGCTGAGCTGGCACAGCTGAAAGCCTCTGGCTCCACAGTCTCTGGGTGGAGCTGGCTGCCATTCTCATTCCAAATCTCCCTAATTATCTCTGTGTCTACCTCAGTTCCCCACCCCGAGTTTCCTTGCTCTTTTTAAGCCACTCCTCAATGTTAACTCAGTTATTGACTTTGAAGCCAGACTGCTGGGGCTTGAACACCAAAGGGGCCAATGGATCCAAGGACTTAGCCAGTGTTCATTCATTTCACAAACAGCATATTGATGCCAGCACTGGTCGAGCGCTGATGCTCTCTCCTTCTGGGGTCTCTGTCCTTCTCTCTCTCAGAATGGCCTGCCCTTTTGTTTCTGTATCTCTGTTTCAAACACTCATTTTGCACTGACTGGCAGATGCTGAAGATATGGCAATGCACGAGCTGGCACCATGCCTATCCTTATGGTGCAAATCAACTACTAGAGAGACCCACCAGAGACAGGGGAGATGGGCCAGCATGGGGGTGGGTATGAGCAGAGGGATCATGCAGTGACAGAGGCAGCATAGGCAGGGGGATCAGGCCACTGGCAGGAGGTGCATTCGGAGAGGTCTGGGAGACACAGGCAGAGGGAGGGATCAGGCCAGGATGGGAAGATGCAGGCAGAGGGGTCGTGCAGGGCAGAGGGGAAAGGAACAAGGGTATCAGGCCATAATTGGAGGTACAGTTAGAAGGGCCAGGCAGAGCAGAGGCATGAAAGCAGAGTGAGCAAGAGGAAAAAGGAGAGCGGGAGGTGACAGGGCTGGAACATGCAGCCTGGGGTCCCAAGAGGACACTGCTTTACTCTGTGGGAGATAACACAGGCAGAGCAGTCAGGGCAGGTTGGTTGGGATGGTACAGGCAGGGAACAGTCAGGACTGGGAAGAGGGGACCCCAGGGTTGGTGGCCAGCCCAACACAAGCATTCATGAACCGAAGAGACAGTGACAAGTGATGGCACTACCATCCTCCCAGTTGTTAAGGCCAGACTCTAAACCCTGCATCCTCTCTTCCTTTCAATTCACTCATGCTCCTTTAGCAACGCTAGCACAGCTTTAGTTTGCTTGGCTCCATAGTCAACAGTCTTGGCACCAGCAGCCAGGAAATTAAAAGGCGCACTGCAATGGGAAAGTCTGCTGTTAGGG